TGTTGCTATCCTCACTGGTACTGGTGTCGGCATCTGCACCACTGGCATCGGTACCAGTCTCAGCATCCTCACTGGTACCGGTGTTGGCATCTGCACTGGTGGCATCAGTACCAGTGTCAGCATCTGCACTGGTATTGGCACCGGTGTTGCCATCCTCACTGGTGCTGGTGTTGGCATCTGCTCCAGTGGCACTGGTACCAGTGTTGGCATCCACACCGGTGTCAGATCTGCACTGGTGGCATCAGTACTGGTGTTGGCATCCACACTGGTGGCAGTGGTACTGGTGATGGCATCCATGCTGGTGGCCTCGGTACCGGTGTTGGCATCCGCAGTGGTATCTGCATTGCACCAGTATCCATACTGGTGTCGATACTGGCCAGCAGTGCTGGCAGTTGGTGTCGGTACCAGCGTCGGCACTGGCATGGATTGTCAACACTGTCACCGGTATCAGCATCAGTACTGGTGTTGGCACTGTCACCGGTTGTTGATATTGTCTCTGATGTTGGCATTGGTACCAGTATCAGCACTGGCATTGTCACTGGTGTTGGCACTGTCACTAGTACTGGTGTCAGCAGTGTCACTGGTGTCGGCGCTGTCACTGGTGTCGGCACCGTCACCGGTGTTGGCACTGTCACCAGTATCAGTGTTGGCATTGTCACTGGTGTCAGCATTGTCACTGGTGTTGGCGTTGTCACTGGTGTTGGCACTGTCACCAGTGTTGGCACTGTCACTGGTGTCAATATCGGCACTGGCGTTGGCATCAGTGTTGTCTCTGTCACCAGTGTTGGCAGTGTCACCAGTATCAGTGTTGGCACTGGCGCTGGCATTGTCACTGGTGTCAATACCGGCATTGGTGTTGTCTCTGTCACCGGCGTTGGCAGTGTCACCAGTATCAGTGTTGGCACTGGCGCTGGCATTGTCACTGGTGTCAATACCGGCATTGGTGTTGTCTCTGTCACCGGCGTTGGCAGTGTCACCAGTATCAGTGTTGGCACTGGCGCTGGCATTGTCACTGGTGTCAATACCGGCATTGGTGTTGTCTCTGTCACCGGCGTTGGCAGTGTCACCAGTATCAGTGTTGGCACTGGCGCTGGCATTGTCACTGGTGTCAATACCGGCATTGGTGTTGTCTCTGTCACCGGCGTTGGCAGTGTCACCAGTATTAGTGTTGGCACTGGTGCTC